GCAAATAGGATCTCGTCAAGAATTTTACAGCGATTGACATCGTTCGGTCATATTGTGTTCCATAGTAAAGGTCTGTGGAAAACTCCCACAGTGCATAACAGACAACTCCCGCAGTGCACCGAAAACAGGCAATACTTATACATCGCTTGCAGACTGGCTCTCTAGACACCAACAAAAGCGCTATCCAATCAACGCCCATAATCGCAGCTCCAACGCCAAGTGAACCGCGGCCCAACCAACGGTAATGGAATGAAAATGCGGGCGTTACTCAGTGAGTTTGGTGTAGCAGTATATGACTGGAAGAAAGGGAGTGTAAGTTCATTGGAGTAAATTTTGATAAGAAGGAGTTCGGTTCAACATTGCTGGATTCATTGCAGGGTTAGACTGTTGACGATTAGCTGTGTGTTCTAATCGGTTGTAATTGAACAGTGAAGAGAGGAGTGTTCGATAGTGAATTATTAGTTATATTCATTGTGGATAGTGGTTCCTCGAAAACTGGAGTGAACACAATACAAAAACTGTCGTGTCAAATATGTCTGCCGTAACAGTGCCGGGATATCGGGCACATTGGACCAAGAAGCGTCAAACGCTAAAATCACAGTACCAGCGGCTGGTACTTGAGTTCCCCGACGCACAGCTGAAACAGCTGCTTCAAGTACACCGCAACATCGAGGACGTGGCAGGGTAAACTCCAGTTTCAGTTGGTGACAGTGAGCAGTGGCCATCCATCGTCAGCGCGGCAGACGAAAACGGCGAGAACTACTGTCAGGCTTTAACAGGGAAGATCCAGTTCAGTGCCCTGTATGGCACATACACAGTCGCCTCACAGGAATTAAAGGCCGTGCTGAAGGCGAGCAGTCAAACTGCACCGTCTGAGGCAACTAAGTTCTCTTCCACTCAGGAGCAACGATACAAAGAAGTAGAGCGGCGCTAGAGGCACGGTACTAACAAGGCCGCACCGACCTCGAAGAAAGCAGTGCCAGCCGCTGCAATTGACGCCCCCTTGCACCGCGCCCTTCCGCTTCCTCTCCTCTTTTCTACTATTATATTATTATTATTACGAAGAGGAAGGGCACAGCGCAATCGTTACTGGCTCTATTGTCGGTTCGCACGCTCCCCTAGATGGAGATGGGGTATCCAAGCTAGGAGGAAGAAGCTACACTCAGTTCAGTGGCTAAGATAAAACAAATACAATTTTAATAACAAAATATACAGTACATAAATAACAAAAGACACTTTTGACCAAAAGAAACAGACAACCAATTTCCCGTCGGCACCCCTTGTGTCGACGCTCGAAATATCAGGCGTTAAGCACTCCGGCCATACAAACTCAAGTCTAAATTCTGAGACAAAATAAAAACCCCAAACCAAAATCTAATACGCGCGTCGCAAGCGTTCATGCAACGGCTTGCGACCGCAGGCAGTCCTTACCGGCCAGCAGATAACACCAAAGGGAATTTAGA